GACGATTCCAGTATCCCTTGATCTATCTTTTCTGATTGTAACCACCCTATAGGACATGTCAAGGACTTGCTTTTTTACCCGTTATAAATCATTTTTCATTATTCATCAAATCATGCCACCTCGCCCACTAGACTCACGACAGCAAACAAACCGTCAGTATTGGATATTGTGCTCACAAATGAAGAGCTCATGATTGAAGAGTTATTGATGGGGAATATATTAGCTTGCAACGACCGTGCAGCAATAATACTAAACTATGCTTCTATGCAGCGTAACCATCTGAACGCTCGGAATTAAAGCATAAAATCACACACTACCACGTCCTGAAAGAATTTGTCAAGGCATCCGCTTGGGAATTCTCGAACAACAATCCCCTTTATAATGTTTAGACAGAGTTCCTTGATAGACTCAATGATATGCTCAACAGAGCATCTGAAACTAGACTCCTTCGTTCCGCAAAAATACAGTCAAGGCTCAGAAGCAAGAATAAAAATGCACTGCCAAATGAGATGCAGCATCGCGTGCCTGCAAGGTTAAACCAGACGCAGAGACTTGGTACAACATTCTGACCCATCGCAACGATTGCGCCATGCTTGTCTGTGAAGACAAAGTAACTTAGCAACAATGCCTAGTCCACAAACTTCTGGCAAACAATAAACTAGCATACAGGCTTGTCAACAACCTTCGTAAAATGAAACATGGCATCCCTACAATGTTCACAATAGACGGTAGGGTACAAAGTGCCGACAAAGCAACCAGTGCCATCGCAACCTGTCCTTGTCACATACCCTCATCCATTTCAATGACTCCATGGTTTTTCACCTGTTATTTTCAACCCTACACCTGTCCTAAGACTGTTACCCTCATTGCGCGATCATAGCGCTCCGGCTACAGACAACATCCGCCCGAAAGCACTAAATTCTGCGACCACTAATCCAGCCGAATTCCAGCCAAAGTCCTTCCAAAAATGTTTCGATGAACCCCTAGTGCCCACTATGCGGAAGCATGGCAATATCCCCCAAGTGTTAAAGGCGGTAGCCGTTCTGACCCTGCAAACTATCGTCGCCGAGGCTCTAGTGGACTATTTGGAAAAATGCAACATCTTGGTGCTGGAGTAGTTTGGCTTCCGTCAGCACTGGTCATGTACCACCAACCTGTTGATGACACGAGGCACTTGGACGGAAATGGCTGATGGTGGGCTCGGAGTTGGCATCATCCATTTAAACTTCTCCAGAGCTTTCAACTGCTTGGATCACTGCATCCTATTTCACAGGTTACAGAACTGGGCACTCGGAGATCCAGTTCTTGTTTGGATTGCCAACATTCTTCACCAACGGAGGCCTCGAATACATGTTAATGGATCGCTCCCAAACCCGATTGAGGCGTAATGCAGTGTTCCAGTGGACTCGGTGTTGGCACCGCGCTCATTCCCAGTGTTTATCCGTCGTCTGAGAAGTTATCTTCTCCGGTTTCCTGTTTGTCGCCGATGATTTTAAAATATCGCGGGCGATGAATAGCAGCGGAGAGTACGATTTTCTGTAACATTACCTGGATTGCGTTCCTTAACGCTCAACACAACTAAGTCAAGGTGATCCGTTTGCGTGAACAACCGGTGAGCGTGTACAAGCTTGGCGATCGCACATGGCAGAATGCCTTTCAAAAGCATGACTTGGGTGTACTGGTTCAGCACAATCTCAGATGCTCAAAACAAGCAGATAGGACGTCCGGAACCGGCAACCAATACTTGATCTTCTTCACAGAGCGTTCAGTCTGTCTTCCTACGAATGCTTAACGCTCAGGTTCCACCGCAGGTAAAATACGCCATACAAGCGTGGCACCCGTGGCAGCAACAGGATCTCGTCGAACTAGAGACTCCTCAGTGTAGAGCAACCAAGAAGCTTAGGGGCATCTTCCATCAGCCCTATTAGCTTACGCTGAAACCCATACGAATGTACAACGGTCGATAACGGCGTTTGCTGGAGGACCACATAATAGCTTTCCAGTTTCTGAAGAACCCAAACCATATTTGCATCGCGCTGCAGAAATCGGAACCAGAACAACAACCTGAAAGGTCATTCGTTGCAGCTGAAAATACAGCATTATGGCTGGAATGTCGTAGAGATTTCTTCTCCGTCCGAGTGTGTCAGCCGTGAAGCGCTCTCCCAACCTAACGATATTGAAAAAACGACCTGACAATGTGTTCCCCCATCGGTGTTTCATATTCTAACTTGTGTTAGCCAGGGGGCCTCATAACGTAAGCAAACGGTGTGTTCCCAAAATTTCGAGCAGTGGATTTATGGATTTATGCTTTTATCATGTGAACATCTCTGCTCTTTTACGCATGTCTATTGTGACTCCACCACGACACCTTTCATTTTATCATGATTTTTTGCCTTGTGAATAATTTCCATCCCATGGGACTTTTAAGCCTTGCTTTTTTACTATACACTATTTTTCCATTTCTCTCTCTGTCAGAGACACCATGATCTTGAATTATGCGGAGTGTTTGACACTGTATCATCGGTTAACGACGATGTTGAAGTGGATGAAGTAATTACTAGGTGCAAAGTTCCACATTCTTAAATATTTTTTACTAACGAAATCAAGGTCGGAATACGCATTGGTTGCCTAGTTTTCTTTCTGTCGCTTAGGCGGTGGTCGATGAATCCATTTGAGTATCGGTACGTCCCTGAAGGCTCATGTTTGACCCATTGCACGCGAAGCTAACTCTGCTGGGAACATGTGAGGGTAGAGTGCTAGATAGTACTTGAGGCCACGTGTGAACACGCTATCTCAATGAGAGAGTGGCTGTTATCCCTAACTATACGGCATTTGTTGTCCGGAAACTCTACTTCCCATCAATTGACAGGCGTCACATCACCCCCTAGGTTCGGCGTTCCCATGTTTACGTGAAATGTTCACTTTTACCTATCGGTGAAACCTTTACGGCTTTAATAGATGATGTGATGTGACGCCCAAAGTCCAGAAAACGCGGACTCCAGGATTCTAGGCATAACCATTTTTTGACTGTAGATAGTGTCTGATTTCCGTGCGTAATCGTCACAACAGCTCTGCAGTTGGAAGCGAATCACGTGGTTTGAATGCATTGACTTTGGGCTACTTGTTGCCCAGCCGGCCGTACGCTATGACTCATCACGGGAAACTTGTCCGAGCAAGTCCGACCACATTGAGAATACCATTAATTGTAGCAGTGGAAGCCCTCACCATCCGTCTACAACCCACTTCATCCTTGAACACACCTTGGTTTGTCGGACGCATGAGTGTGATTGACAGAAAGCTCACTGGGGTACCCTTATGCCTGCCGGCCATTAACCTCTGTTAATATCGCTGATTCACAGATCAGAGTGGGCGGATTTTTCAGGTACACACTAAAAGTTACCGAGTTGTGTGCATTATACGCAGTGTACTAAGCTCACTCTCAAAGAAAATCACTGCAGCTCTTCCTCAAATTAGGATGTTCCATTCGTAAAGCCTCTAATCAGGGTGCATGTCACATTCGCTGTTCTGTGGGTGTTCCAACAGTTCACTGTGGTGTGTAACTGAGAACGAAATCAATGACGAAGCGATGGGCGTACCCTAACATATGCTTCATGTAATTGTGTGGTCTCTCGCTACATTCGAACCGCCAAGTGTGGTTGCATTTCATCCGAACATTCGGTAACCCGCCATGGGGAGCGCGCCTTCAATTGCATACATTGTTGATATAGTGTGTAAATTGTGTGATCCATTGATGTTTCTACCACATTGTATTCCTAGAATCGTCTGATCCGATGTGTCACGACCGACTGACGTGCTGGTCGTGGAGTCGTGCACTAGTGATTAATTTGCTGTTTCACAGACGCATTTTGTCGCACGCCACTGGATCTATACTTATTCGTCTTGCTTTTACAAGTTCAACTTCATGCTACCATTTTCTTGCGAATACTAGCAGTGCATTCAACAGTTGCACTGAATTATAAATTCCGGGCGGTGTTTCACTGATATCCCAGTGCAAAGTTGGGTAATCCCAACCTTTGGAGACATTGGTTGGTCTCACTCGATAGAGCATTTCAACGGCGTTCGATCGAATTCCCAATCGTCAAAGTCTAACATTTTATGTAGCAACCACATGATAATTGGCTTTTATCTGCAGCGAAGCCCCCTCTCAATTTCTCGACAAGTTCACCTTCAGACGATTCATAGGCCTAACCATAAGAATGCACAACATTCGGTAACTCCGTTTGCTGGGGGGGATCACATAATGGTTTCCCAGTTTCTGGAGAACCCAAAACATATTTGCATCGCGCTGCAGAAATCGAAACCAGAACAACAACCTTAAAGGTCATCCGTTGCAGCTGACAATACAGCATTATGGCTGGAATGTCGTAGAGATTTCTTCTCCATCCGAGTGTGTCAGCCATGAAGCGCTCTCCCAACCTAACGATGTTGAAAAAACAACCTGACAATGTGTTGTCCCATCGGTGTTTCATATTCTAACTTGTGTTAGCCAGGGGGCCTCATAACGTAAGCAAACGATGTGTTTCCAAAACTGCGAGCATTAGAATTATGCTTTTATGCTTTTATCATGCGAACATCTCACCACCTCTACGTGTTTTCTTTTTGCGTTTATTAAGACGTCTTTTCTTTTATCATGATTTTTTATTTTTCCTTTGGTTTCGATCGTACGGTCAATTTAAGCGTTGGATTTTGCCCTTTCTGCCTTACTGTGCACTTCTTCCATTATCTCTCTAATTTGAATCACGACGGTGATTAGGCTAAACTTGATGAGAATTTTGAATATTATAGAAATTCATCTTTCATCTCATCATCAGCTGAACTATCACTTCCTTTTCTTTTGCTCCCCCTTTTTTCCATTCAGCACGTTATTCCTTGCCATCTCTACGCTGCGTTTAGCCACAGAGTTTGCGGCTTGTTTGTGGTGTTATTTTGCCAACTAGGCGCATCAACCTCTAACGCATTTTACAGAACCGCATCTTTGAATGCACTGCGAACAAGTGGACGCATTATGCTGTCTCGAAAGTGAATGGTGGCCATCTGTAAACGACCGTCCTTCGTACTGTGTGAAGGTTTTTTCCTTTTTCCGCATCTCATGCTCCCTTTGTTTTAGGAACCAGTTATTATGTGGACTGACAAGCGGCGTTATGTTAAACCGGTAGTTGCCTTGGCGCCTCCCATTGTGGTGCGCGTTGGCTCGAGTTGGGATTTGTGGGTGGCGGCCCCACCAAATATGGGCGTTCCTCTTGTTGATAGAAAATTCGGTTGCAGTGTTAGTTTTGCAGTTGTTGTTAAAACCTGGTTCCACATGCGGATTTGTTTAGTAACCCGTGGATCACGCATGGTTGTTCTCATTCATCTGTGGGCATGCGATTATTAAGTATCACTGGCCAAACATGTGCGATGTTGCGTCGCAAAGAATACCTCCTTTCCCTATCTGCTACTCGGATACGTCTTAACCATCAGGGATCGCTCACCTGACCAACTCCAGTATTCCCCATACAAATGCCATCGCGTATTCACGGCCTCAATTGAGTAAACGATCAGTGGAGGTTTGGAATACGAACCAAGTTGAATGGCATAGCCTGAATGTGATCGAACACCACCACTCTAAACTTTAACAACACGCTTAAAGTAATAGAATACATCTCCAGTCTGCACTTTTCTGTAGCCTGCCTAAAAGGCCCAATCTGTCTGATCATGTGGATGTCTTGAATTTGCATCCGTTAAAATTTTGTAGAGTCCGCAAGACAAATTATCCGTTTTGCGCAGCTAATGCACATGTTTTATGCTGGTCCAATAGCTCGAGGCTGTGGCACTTACCGACTCTCCAGTGAATGATCAATAACTCGCGTAGCATTTCATCTCATTCGACATGTGCACACGCGTTTGCTCACGAGGCCCAAGTACTCGTCCGCTCTACCGGCGTGACGAACGGTGCCAGGCTAACAACACACGCGCTTTTGCACGACGTTTTGTTCCGCGCATCCGGTTGCTCCTGATCAATAGCCAACTGTTGCGTCGATATTTACGTCTTTATCTATTCCACAGCGAAAAACAGGGGCGTATGATACGAAGCTACTGTGTAGTCGATATTCTGGAGACACGTTTGACTTCCTTGTGGCGTCATTGAACTTCCACTCAACAGCCCCACACCATCTAATTTGACGGAATGCGTGGGCGCTGGTTAAAGGCAAAAAATTGCTCACAAATGTGGGTAGTGAAATACTTACCAAAAATTCCGACCTACGTCCATATTTATGCGGCGACACTAAGGACGTTCAGTTACTTAATACGGTTACTACTGTATTTCCATTTGTACGCCAAGCATAGATGCAAGTTTCGCTACCAGGCCTCCAACTAGCCTCTTTGGAATGTTTGTTTGCTGTGTTGTGTTAATGTTTCCATAGCAGTCTGAAAGCCGCCGTTTGGTCAACATCGCCAGTCTATAATTGCAGAGCACAATGTGATCCGGTTTCGAAGATGCGTCATGCCTTCAATAGTCACATTGGAGGCCGTAGTCCAAGGTTCGCCAACGACAACCTCATCTGCCATTGAGCCTCCCGTTGCCTTCTGTCCTTGCGAACGATGGTACAACACAAAGAATTCAATTACTTAACATACCATACCGATGTTCACAGCCCACCTGCGTCGGCGAACTCACCCCAGCGTTGGCACAATGTGGCTCGCTGAGGGAAGTCCATTTTGATTAAGAGTTAAGGTTCTAAGTGGATGGGGCAGGCAAGAAAGTTAGACCAATCAATAGACGTATGCAGGTACCATACTTGATCTCCTACACTGATGCTATCATTTGCATATCTAAAAAGTCATTTCCTAAATAACATCTTTAGGTCTACATTCCTGTTTAATTTGGTATATATTGGGGCCAAGTTGCCGCAGCTGGTTTCGTTCCGAGGAATGTATGGTATAAAAAACACAGAATATTGCAGTTATCAGAGTACACTCGATTTACACAGTAAGATATAGCGTATTTCGCGTGAACTCGTTCGCTTCCGTATCAGCCGTACGTAAGCATCTTTTTCGAATGGTGAGCACGGTCTGCGATCCACAGGTTAAGCATAAGGAGCCCCGTCAGCGTTCTCGTTGAGGATTGTTCAGTGGCATTACAAGCCAAAGCGGCGAAATGCGAATGAGAGCACCGGTTTGTTGATGGTGTCATAAAGTGAACTCTTGCTCTGAACTTTGCAGGCTGAGATTCATTCAGTTGGCGGATTATCGTTCCTCAACCATCATTAACTTACATGGTTCCATTGCGGATTTAAGCATATGACAGCCTACGCTTTCATTTCACTGCTGACAACATTTGGAAGTTGCGGCACATGCCGCTATTTTGATGCGTGTTCTGTGTACTCGCTTTCCATCACACTCCCTCACTATATTCATTTATATATTTAGCCGCATGCGTCGTTTGACCGACTCGTGACGTGTTTCCCGCTACCTTTCGGGAGTACATTTTACCGAAGGCTTTGACTGAGCGCCCGAATCTCTCCTGTTCAGATGTGAATGCCCTTGCAGTACATCAGTCCGAACATAAACCATGAACTTCAAAACTATAGCTTATTTTATGTTGCATCGACCGACGCACAGTAGGGAAAAAGACTCACCGTATCTGCTGCATACAGCTGGGCTAATAAACAGAAGATGCTACTGATTTTACCTCCTTTCTTCATCCCATTCCGTGCCATCTTTTTCCCTCCCATTCCCCACTCCACCTGACTCATTCCAGCAGCTACCCAGCAGTACTGCGTTTGCCCGGCGCAATCGTATGCCTCCGTGGATAGCACTCAAGTCCGGATGCTAGGACGTGCCCGCACTGCTGGACGGGAATGCAAACACGCGCCTCGAGCGACGAAGTATACTAGTCGACATAGAATTCCGTCGTTACGGAATTGTAATTGCACCAAGTTGCATTAGGATGGTACTGCCTACACGTTCTACTGGGTGAAAAACGCCACCACAGCCCCACGTGAACATGGGATCGGATTTGCACTAAGCGACCACCTAAATCGTCGGCTGGTGATGCAACCGATTGACATCAGCCATGGGTTGATGACATTTTGCCTATGCCTCGGACGGTTTAGGTTTGCAGCTAGTGATAGCACGTATGGTCCCACCAGGTGTTATCTTAATGATACCATGGGACAGTCTTACGCTTAGTTGTTCTGCGTGACACGGTCTGTGCTGAGGAGCGACTGGCTATTCCTACTGGGTGATTTCAACGCGCGCCTGGGATGTGCTGCTGCGGTGTGGGCAGACATAATCGAACCGTTTCGTATGGACTCAGCCAAAAGAAACGGTGTAGCGTCCACAAAGATAACTGCTATCTTTCATGTACAATTTAATTGTTGACCGATTGTACATTATTCCTTCTTATTTTAATCTTCCTTACAACTGGCTCGACACTCGACGAATTGTAAGTTCCCACGCTCATCTGCTCGCCCTTGTCTCGCTTCATCCGTCCGCGTCTTCTTGTAGCCCATCGAATACAGTCCGCTGTGTCCGACTCCAATTGCCTTCTGATATCCGCGCTTAATTTCGCGCACCGTCTTGGACTAGTATTAACTAGTCCTACAAACTGGAGACCCCGATTCGCACGCGCGAATTCCACTTATTTCCTCGTTTGTATTTTTTGATGAGTTCGTTCCTTTTCCTTGATTATATACCTATATTTATTTGTTTCTTGCATAATTTTAGCACCTTTATCGTGTTTTTGTTCATCATTTATCTTTCGGCTTACATTTCGAGAGTGGCATCTGAGTCGTTTCACAACGTAAACATGCTTACTTTGGCTGTTCCAAGTTTCATGGAACACAGCCCAGAGGTTTGCTTTACGATATTCGAGAACGAACTGGAAAATAAGGACATTATGGCGGACCGTCCGAGGTACAATCAGCTCGGCTCACGCCTTCCTTCGTCGGTTGTGACGCTGATTGAGGACATTCTACTCTGCCCATCGAATGAGTCAAAGTATGAAACGATGAAGCAAGCGATTTTAAAAGAGTTACGGCCCAGCGCACGAGCTCGATTTGAACAGTGCAATGGTCTCAAGCTTGGAGACCGCAAGCTGTCGGCGTTGCTCCGCCAATTACAGCGCATCGCTGGTCCCTTATTCTTGAGCGAAGAAGGGATAAAGGAGCTATGGTTTGCAGTCTCCCAGAACCATTGCAGTAATGCTGCCCATGTTTATAGATACACCCCTGAAAGAATTTGCTACCAAGGCAGACGCTGCGTTCGAACGTTTTCCGCAGCAGACGACCAGTAACTCCGGTGACGTATTCTCACCGATGAAAACCGAATCCCATATTTGCTCCCAGTCGTCATGCCGATCTGACCCTAAAGACGAGGAAGTGCGCTACTCCGCAGCAGGATAGCAGCAATGAAGGCTTCGAAGCGGCGTGTGCCAACATCAAATGCTGACCACGTTTTGGCTACCGTTCATTGCGGCTCGTCTGTGCCTCCACCGAATACGTCTCGTTCAGCACGAAAGCGCAACATTTTCCCTGCACGTTCTCAGTCAGATAATACTAAACCCGTCGAAGAAGTATGTTGGCATCACAGCCCATACGGTGGAAGAGTTAAACATTGTCGAGCTCCCTGCATTAGCCACGACCCAGCTGCTTCGGGGAAAACGAATAACCCGCATACTAGCACGACAAACATGTCATTCAATAACCAAGCAAATCGCCTGTTTTACGTTAAGGATCGACGTTTTCCCATCACGTTCCTCATCGACACAGGAGCGGAAGTCAGCGTCAGCCCAGCGACCGCTAACGGCAAGCACTCAGAGCCTACGGGCAATTTGCGTGCGGCCAAAAGTTCTCCAATAGCTTCATTCACCCAGCGCATGATGAACCTGGACCTCAATCTTCGCCGAGATTTTCAGTGGCTTATAATGGTTTCGTCTGTACCCTTCGCAATTATCGGTATTGACTTACTACGACATTTTGGATTGCTTGTTGATGCTGGTCGCCACAGACTTTTAGACGGCCGTACTAAACTAGCGGTCGAAGGCGTTCTTACGGACGCCCCGATACTCAGTCCCGTTTTTCGAATCGCTGATGTACCATCAGATTATGCGAACCTACTGTCTGAATACCCGCGACTGGGACGACCAGCAGCAGTCACGACAGAGGTCGCTCATCACATAGTCATCATCAACATCACACAAGTTAGCTAGAGGTGGGGAACACGTCAGCTACTGTGCCGCAATACATAGAAAAAAAGGAGAGAAAAAAGCTACTGATGCAAGCTGGCTGAGCCACCTGTAACGGATGGGCATCGCTTCGGTAAGCTACCAGCCGGCTGCTGTGCACCAAAAGAAATTGCTATGCAAAATTATATAAGACTAAATAATGAGAT